CCTTCACTATCTAAAATTATATCTTTTGCAATCCCTATTTAAGCCAGAATAATTTTCTTTTCAAAAAAACCCTGATTAGGATCATATCTCACATTAGGGTGTAAACAATAGATATTTTGAAGACATTGATATAATCAATAAAAAAGGAAAGATTAAGAATAAATGTCCAATGATTGAGAAAAGGGCTAAAAAATAACTAACAAATTAGTCGAGGAAGTCTAAAAATAGAAAGATTGAAATTTGAAAGTATATTATTGACTAATGAGAGTCTTGTTGACAAAGAAAATTTAATTTGGGGAAGAAAAGTCCAAAATCAGACATTTATGAACTCAATTAAATTTTATTGAAGGTTTAATTGAATTTATGAAGGTTTTGATTGCAAGAAAAATTTAATTTTGGGAAGAAAAGTCCAAAATCAGACAATAATGAACTCAATTAAATTTTATTGAAGGTTTAATTAAATTTATAGAGGTTTTGATTGCAAGAAAAAATGATTTTGGAGTTAATTTGAGCTTTAATTGAAAGAAATTGTTAGAAGGTCAAATTATAATTTTTAAAAGTTAGTTTGGTCAAATTAGGGGCCTAATTGCATAATATTGAAGTTTGATGGTCAATTAGGGACTTAATTAAAGAAATCTTAAACTAAGGACCAATGAAAAAGGCACATAAATAAAAAGGCTGCAATTAAATCGAACAGGGGTCCAATTGAAGAAATTAGAAATTTATTGCTCAATTAAGGGTTAAATTACACTAATTTAATACCAATGATCAATTTGGAAAAGGTGACTAACTTCGGGGCGACTATTTGAATTTGGTAGGGATGTAATTGAATTAATTTTTATAATCAAAATTATAATTGAAGACTCGATTGAACAAATCAAAAATTAAGGACCAATGTGAACTTTACACATTTTGCTTCCTTTTCCTTTTAAATAAAAAAAGAAAATGGTGCTATTTTGTCTAAAGCGTTATCATTTCATCCACTGTTCATAAAAAAAGACTCGAAATGGTGCCGTTTTGAATGGCATTACAAACTTTCTTCTTCCCCTGGACATGCAGAGAAACAGGGGAAGGGAACTTTGACACATTTCTTCCTCTAAAAGGCTTACAAAGACGCCGACTAAGGACACCCACTTGTTAAAATGACCCGTGGCCTCCTACATGTTGGAGAAATGGAGGAGACATGCCTTCTAGGGCAATTGTGGGGTGCAACACAGTAGGCACCCCAATTATGTCTCTTCCTTTGTTTTTCTATAAATATAGTGAAAGATAACAAAAGAGAGGGCATAAGACAGAAGGGAGGAAATAAAGAGAGAAAGAAAAAAAATAGAAAGAGGAAAAGAGAAGAAGTAGAGAAGAGAATGAAAAACAAAAGAGAGAGAGAAGAAAAAAACTAAGAGGGGCAGAAGGAGAGAACGACCACCTCCAGTTTAGCGGCGCCACCAATGTGCCTCCTCTCCATTGCCACCAGTAGCATCAGCTCGTCGAGTAGAAGAAGAAAAGAAAAAAAATAGAGGCGAAAGCCTCTGCATAAAGGAAAAAGAAGGAGAAGCAGCGTGCCACGGTGCCCCAGCCACCACTACTAGCACCGTTGCCATCGTCACAATTACTAGAAGCATTGTAAGCCACTACAGGTAAGCCTTTTTTCCTTTTCCTTTCTTCTTCTTCTTCTTCTTCTTCTTCTGCTGCATTTTCTTCTCAACTGTTCACGTTGCATGGGAACAATGAAGAACCCACTATAAATGAGCTGGCAGACCCAGCCCAATCCAAAATGTTTGGGCCGAGTTTGGCCCAATTCAAAAATGTTTTCTAAAAAATGCTTAATTTTTGTTTATTTTTCTACTATTTTTTGCTTAATATCGATTTATATTTTACGTTGTAAAAATACAAACCCAGTATTAAAATACCTGGTTTTCATTAAAACTTTCAAAAATAAAAAAATATTCAATTTTTTTTATACACATGATTATGTGTCTCAAAGCTAAAAAAGTCATATTGTATTTTTCATACAAAAAAAAATGTTTTAGCATGCATTTTGGCTTTAATATCCAATTTATTAAAGTCAAGAAAACATTGATCAAAATTTCAAAAACAAAAACAATTTTATTTTGTTTTGTTTTAGTATCAGATATTATAAATTTATACGTAAAACGTATTCTCGATGTTAAAAAGATATTTTTTGTTAACAACATAGAATAGTTAGGTTTTCAACGATAAGATAAAGGTCTCTTTACAGAGGAGAACTTTTCTTAAACCATAGAAAGACGGGTAAATTTTAGACACCACAACCAGACCATAGATTTTATCAGACTAAACAATGCAGCCTATCTTAGGTAGGGCATATTTGGGGTGCTAATATCTTTACTTTACGCAACCAGTCTTCGTACCCCATTTTTGAGACTATTTAGGATTCCTAGTTACCAAATACTAGGCAACGACTTTCATTCCATTTTTACTGATGCTCCATATTTTCTAAAATATACTATACATCTGTCTATTACATATATAATTTTTTTGTTGAGGGTGGACAATCACCGCGATACCGCACACGTGCGACAAAGTTTCTTAACTTTACTCTCCTTTCGGTTTGATCACAATATTCTTCTAATAATATCCAAAACAAAGTATGAATATAGTTAAGGTAAGTATTTAGTTACTAAGAGAAAAACAGAAACAATGAAGATAAAAGGGGACATGTCTCATGCACCTCTTGTTTTGAAAGTATGTAAATCAATTCAAAACTGTCATAGAGAAATTAAGTTAATGAATAATAAAGAATAAAAGTGGACATTATGTTGTGGGGTGGGAGGTCTAGATCTTTGAACACCCAATGAAGAAAGATTACGATTAGCCTTTTTTCCATCTATCATAAGTGTTGGATCCACACTAGTGTTTTTTATTGCTTCTGCTTCTGTTTCTCTAAAAGTTACCTAAAAAAATATATACCAAAAAATATGTTTGGATAAATGTTTTTATAAATTTCATAGCTAAATCTAAGACTTGTTCAAGGTAACAAAGTGAAGAAAAATGGTGATGATTACTTATAAAGCCATATCCTTTTGATCTTCTAGTGTTTTTATTTATAATGACTATAGCTTCTAAAATCTCTCCAAATTGTTCAAATTATTTTTTTATGGTTTCCTTCTAGGTCTCTCATGCTAAATCTTTAACAAAAACCATGATATAAGTAGTGTTTTCAAATTGACCCGAATCTTCTATATTGATTGAACTTATAACTTTGATGATCAGTATAAACACTTTTTTTTATATTAATTTTTTGTTTTTTAATTTATGACCTTAATTCCAAAGTTAGCAAACTTGAGAGCTTAATGGATGCAATGTAAACATTTGTTAGAAGAAAAGAAGTAAAAGATGATGAAATTAGGGCAAGAAACACTAGAAAAGGTTTAGTTGTATTTTGACCGAGTTGCTTAAATTTAACCGAATTAACTCATATTTTTTATTTATTTATTCAATTTAGACTAGGTTTTAGATAGATTTATTAAGCTAGATATAATTAAAGAAATGGAAGTTATGTAATTATATAATACATACTTCAAGCTCAAATATTAGCTTTCTATTAACTTGTTGATTCGCATGTTTAAAACTATAGCATTAAATATAGATACATAGTCATGTCTAGTCGAGAAGTTAAAATATTTATACAAACTTAATTCATTATTTTAAGATAGAAATACAAAATTTAAAGAAAAAGATGTTTAGAATCTAGGTAGGACATTTTCTAGCATTTCATTCCCCAATTTTTTCTCTGTTTTTTAATATGTTACACTTTAATTTTGACAAGAAATGAATATGTTCCCATACTAATGCTTATGATGAGGAGTTTCTTACGAGAAGATGAGCAAAGTCCCGGGGGCAATAAATGTGCCTGATAGAGTATATTAAAAGCATGGGGTATTTGTCGATGTAGTCATTGTCGCTAAGGTTCCCGATATCTAATGACTTAGCCGATGATTACCTCAACTCCTTGCCATCCATTATCTTATTCGATTGGCTCATTTTACTCCCATCATTTTTCACTTGTTGGCTTAATGTACACCTTTTCTCCTTGTGCTAGTTCTTTTACTAATAAGACGGCAAAATGAGGAATCATTGTCAAGATTTCCATGCGACAACAATTTCATCCATAAACATATTCACACGAGAAGAAGAAGACCGGTGGGTCAAGCCGAGCCCGGTTCGGTTAGGACAACAAGGGAAAGGCTGGGTCGGAATTTAAAAGAAGTAAATAATAATGAAATTCAACAAGGTATACCTAACAATGGAAATACTTCTAAGATCATCAGCTTGACACAACTTGCTGATGATTACCATGATTTATAACCTGTGAATTATACTTAGGCTCTGGTGCCATTTATGTAGTGGGTCGATGAATAGAGTGGGAGGCAACATAAGATTTTATTGATGATTAATAATACATGAAGAGATTGGGTGCGTAAAAAAAATTACGAGATAGGATTCGATAAATAAAACGGTTAACTACATAACATTTTATTAAAGGTTACTAACACATGAAGAGAATAAATATATAAAAGAAATTATAAACTAGAATAAATATACAAAATATTTATTTATATTGAAGGTTTATAATTTTAAATTTAAATTAAATCTCATTTTAAGTTGAGAAATTATAATAGATGATTTCAGAAGAAATTAAAAAATTCTTGATTGGATGATTTATGATATTAAAAAGCGTATATCTATATCTTTATATATTATCTTTAGCATTTTATCTTTTATATATCTAGAATAATTGATTTGTTGTTTAATTTATATTTTAATTATTTATATTCAATCATTCTATAGATAAATACACTTAATATTAACTTTTCATTATATATTAACTATGAAATATTAATATGTGGTAACATGCATCCACGTTGACACGACAGCATCAAGACATCATTACTCCTCCATATGCAGTCGTGGCCATTAAATTAATCAAGATATACTTAATTATTATTATTTTTTATTTTCTTTTTTTCCAAAGAGGACTCCTCGCGAAGCTTCCTCGTTCCCTCCTTAAAGGGTAATACAGTAATTATCAATCAAAGCACCTCGATATCTGGTAAACGTCTAGGAACCAGTCAGCACTCTTAACGGCTAAGATTTCTCCTCTAAAATCAAAATTCAACCAGAGACAATGCTAATCAAATCCGAGCTGTTCTGAAATCCAAAATCACAGTCACTTCCTCAGCTCTCCACGACCCAAAACGATCCGTTTTCCCCTTCACCCTCACTCTCCCTTTCCCGTTTTCGTCACAAACACTAAAACCACTTCCGTTCTCACCAATCTTTCAATATCCACCATCAGTTCTACCAGATCTAGAGCCTTCTTAACTTCACTTCCCCTCACGCGCCGCTTATCGGATATGGTTGTCAACGGGAGACCGATTAAGAGGATGAAGAGGAGAGTCACAGCTGATCTCTACAACTTCCTATCTTTCCCTTCCTCCTCTTCCTCTCCCTCTTCCTCTTCCTCCTCGCCTCCTCCTCCCCGCGGTCCTTTCAGATCCAACATCAGGTCGTTTTTAACCGAACACGCGCTGTTACCTCCGCCTTCCTCGCTGTTCCCTCACCTGCTCACATGGCAGATCTCGTTTCAAGTCGGTGACTTGGTGGGGTGCGGCGGCGAGGAGGCTGCGGGCGGTGTGGTTTCTTTAGATGTGGTGGAGGAGGATGTGGCTAGATCAAGATCTGTTTACTGTGATCAGTGTCGAGTTGTTGGTGAGTTAACTCAGCTCGAGTTATTGCAAGATCCCTTTTTTACCCTTGACGTTTTTTCCCCGGCCTGCCGGGTGCGTTGGGGCGGGAAATTCGAGAGTTCTCTCTTTTGCGTGCCTCTCTTTCCTTTTGCTTTATTTGGAAAATTAAAAGATTTAAAATATCGCGGTAATTCACGTGATTGACTCGTGAGAGTGTTTGTAGAAACAGAATAAACGAGATGTTAGCAATGTACCGCGAGAAAATGACTGTTTTTTGTAACTTGGATTAGCGGGAATGTGGGGCCCAGAGTGATAATGACTGGACGTCTAGTTTAATGTTATCTCAGTTAGGATAGGCTAGTACATGCGACACTTGGCGTGCTGTGGCTTCCTGCTTTTAGTATTTGTTTTTCTTTGTGGGTAATAGAAGTATCATGCTTGCTTGTCTTGTTGTGGTGGCCTGCCATTTCTACTAGATGGTGCTTTTAGTTAAATTTTTGTTGTTGGTGGGACCGGGTCGCAGTTGGCACCTGTGTTTCGTTCTTTTGACGTGGGTCTTAAATATGATGTTGGGGGTTAACTCCATGTTTGGTCTTGTCTGTTCCATTTGCTTGGACAACGATGCTGGGTTGTGTAATGGATAATGAGTTGATGCTGTATCTTTTGAATAGGATTTTTTTTTATGTGACTAAAAACCCTTTATTTTTTTGAATGTTTTGGATTTGTCTAGAAGTGTGTAACATGTGGGCCATGGGATGATTTTTTTTTTACTGTGAAATTGGTATTCTGAAGATGGCTTAGAGTGAACTCAATCTTGCACCTTAGGATATAAGAGGGAAGTTCCGGGGGTTAAACACGGGAATCTTGGGGGTATGGACTGGTAGATTGATAGCCGTGGGGAAAATGGGGATGATTGATGAACTTATGATAGGTTTGGCTGAACATAATGTTGTATAATGTAGTTAGGGAATGAGAACTATTTTTTTTTCTTAGTCTTTGTTTGATTATTTATACTGATTTTTCTATATAAAAAAAATAAAAATAAAATTATTGTGACTTCTTAGATTTTAATTGTGTGTTACTTAATTATTGTGTTTTGTCTGCTTTGTAGGTTGGAGTGGTCATCCAGTATGCAGTAAGCGTTACCATTTTATTATTAAAGCTGATGGTAACTCCATTGGTGGGTATCATAAGCCATGCACTTGTTGCGGAGATGTCCTGCATTTGTCTGAATCAAGGTCAGGGCACACTGCCTGTTTTTCTTTTTAGAGAGTTGATTGTGACAATGTGTTGTATATGGCGTCTTGTTGTTTTATTGTATGGCATAATTTAGTTACGTATTGTACTGATGCAATGTGCATGCCTATGAGGAGATGCAGTGTAAATATCTACTAGTACTTCGTTTAGATCTCTGTTGAACTATAATTATCTTTCTTTGATATTTTCATGTAAAACATACATGCTGGTGCGTAGCATAGTCAAGAAAATAGACTTTGTGTTTTACCGATTTCATGAGCACACCTTATATACAATTGTTTGAAGAAAATTCTTAACTTTGTATTGGTTAGATATTACAATTTGTTTTGTGGAACTGAATTATGATCATAGGTGTATTGAGCTTGATTCATATCTGGGTTAATGTTAAACATTTTTGTGGCTTCTGATGATCCTCTTGAATTTTCTATTTTAGGTGCAAGACATGCAATCATGTGACAACTGCAGATGATGTTGAGGAGTGGATCTATCACCAGTTGGAAGACACCACTCATCTCTTACATGGTGTCGTCCATGCAAATGGTTTTGGGCACCTTCTTAGGGTGAATGGAAAAGAAGGGGGCTCCAGGGTCCTTTCTGGAGTCCATATCACGGACTTTTGGGATCGGTTATGTAAAACTCTTGGAGTCAGGTTAGGATTCTTGATTGCACTTACAGTCTCATGCATGTTATGTAGTGAGAGTGTTCCATTATGCTGAAGATGATTTCTAATATTTGCTAGCTAAAAATCTATGTTGGAGTTCTCTTCATAAATCTTCAGTTCTTCAGTGTGGTTATCTAGGTAGATATTATCATTGGCAGATGTTTTATGGTCTAGGAGTATTTGAATATGTGGAGATTGGGATGAGTAGATGATCTTCTGGTAGCTACCTGTGAAAAGATAAAACATAAGCGTGAAAGGTTTAAGATTTGTAGAAGCTTTATCTGTGGTGCTGTTCTCCTTGGTCATTGAAATGTTTATTTTTGTCAAATCATTTTGATGTGGATTTTGGAAGTTATAATTTATCTTGCAATTCGCTAGATAGAATGCTCTATGCTTCTCTTGAAATCAAGGGTTTGTGGATAGTATTCTGGAGATCAAAACACAGTTGGTATCTTATGCTTTCTTATCATGTTGGATTTGGTAATCTGTATGGTAGCATGGATTCCATTAGCCTCCTGATTTCATCTAATTATAGCTGTGAATTAAACCAGCTATTTTGTCATTTTCCATGCATTAACAGAAAGGTCAGTGTGATGGATGTATCAAAGAAGTATGGTTTAGAGTACAGGCTACTTCATGCTATCACCAAAGGCCATTCATGGTATGGTGACTGGGGCTATGAATTTGGTGCTGGTAGTTTTGGTTTGACAGTCTATGCGTATAAGTCAGCTGTTGAAACACTCTCCAGCCTACCTTTGTCCATCTTTCTTTCTGAAGGGCAGAAACTGCAAACTCGCTTGCTGGATATAATAAAGTTTTACCAATCTTTGTCAGATCAGGAGCTTGTAAATATTAGAGATCTTTTCTGTTATTTGATAAGTTTGATCCATGATGCTCGCAAGTCTCCCTCAAGGGCTAATGATTCTAGCTGCAAGAAGCGCTGTATTTATGCATCTGGGATTTCTTCTTCATGGAGTAGGAGTGATATAGAACGCGTTGAAGAAGCCATGTTTAGAGTACTGCGAGCAGTTTCTGGGTCCAACTGGGTAAGTTGGCGTGCACTTAGAGGTGCTGTTTGCAAAGTGGCTCCTCCAGAGCTCCTTGATCATTGTCTAAAGGAAATAGGTGGGAAATTTGCAGCGGATGGAATGGTTGTTAGGTCACGATGCAATCCTAGTTCAGGTGCTTTTGAGTACAGGTTAGCAATTAATCTCTCTGCATTAATTAATTCATGGTTGGCATGTATATAGCATGCTCAAATTTGATGAGTTTTTGTGGGAGTATTGCAGCCGTTCAGTAGTTATATTATATTAACTGTAGTATCCTATTCTTATTTAATTTGGCAATGATTAAGCTAATGTTCAACACAGCAATCATCTTCTTTGTGCACTAACTAGATCTTGGAAAGACATGAATGCTTTTGAAAGTAATTTTTAGTACTTTTCTTTTTGATGAAAAATTGTTTAGGAATGCCAACGTAGATAGAGTTTATGGTTTTGATGGAGCTGGATGGTACTAGTAATTTCTAGGGCTAAGATCTGCATCCCTTTGTATTTTATGCAGTGCGATTTTCAGTGCAACACTAAACTATTGAATGTGTTATGATATGTTACAGACTAGAACCAGGAAATCCTTCCCTAAATAGCCCTGCTACCACCGGCTCTTCTGTCATTACCTGCCCATCCGAAGGAAACCTTATACAGGACCTGAGATTCCTTTACGATAACATGCTACACCCTCAAACCATGATGAGCTATGGACCTGAGGCCACAAGTGATGCAATCAGCTCAGCTAGAAAACTTCTTGACTGCAAGCAGTTCATGAAAGACTACAACAAATGTGAAACTACGGCGTCAGCCTCAAATCCACCTACTATATGCCTGTCATGTGAGGTGGAAATTGTGGATCAGCTGGAAGAAAATGTCCCAGATCTTCCCCCAGAAATAATCGTCCTGCCCTCAAATGCTACAGTTTTTGATCTCAAGCTTGAAGCGTCCAGGGCATTTCAAGATGTGTATTTGATGTTCAGGAGATTTCATGCCGAAGAGCTTCTTGGTTATAGTGGTGTTGATGATTCCACCCAGGTCAAGCTCTTGATAGGGTCAACTGAATCTGTTCGAGTCAAAGGTAGATGTCTGGGGAAAAATGGTCTTGGTAAATTTAGGATGGAAAGAGGAACTGAGAGATGGACTGTGGACTGCCGATGCGGTGCTAAGGATGATGATGGAGAAAGAATGTTAGCTTGTGATGTTTGTGGGGTGTGGCAGCACACCAGGTGTTCTGGCATCCCAGATTCGGATCCAGTGCCCGCGAAGTTCGTCTGTGTGGGATGCAGAGGCGTCAGCTTGGTGACCAAACCTAGTACAGTAGTGAAGTGACGAGACGATGACTTTTTGCCGGTGACAATGGCAGAAGCTGTGGAAACAGCATGGCAACATCTCGTGTTTCTGAAAATTTAGACTCTGTAAATGTTTTTTTTTATTCGAAATTTTGTTTTTCTCCTTTTTGTTCATCTTCTTGGGCCAGTTTTTTCCTCCAACGATAGGTTGAATGTGTACATAATAAATTATGGCCTTAAAGGTGCATCAGTGCGGATGGGGCCTGCCTCCCACACGATGATGCTCGTGGTGTTTCTGTATATCTCTTATGTACCCTAACCAAGGCAAAAAAAGAAAAAGAAAGAAAAGGAACTATATTATGTACATGAAATGATAAGCTTTCATTATTAGAACCGTATTATGTTTTGATGAGATTTTGCGTGGGTTTTCAATTGGGTCTCTATATTTAGCTGGTCAAGGAGTTGATGAACAGAGATGAGAAGCTTTCTCAAACCAGCCATTCTTCGAGAAATAGCATCAGTCAAGGGAAAGAAAGGGGTCAATCATTTTTCCTGGACATTAATATTTATTTAAAATCATGACACGAAATATGGCAAAATATCATATCATACATGATCTAAATTTGACAGCAATATCATACATGATATTGATTTTATTTAAGATTTAAAGGAGTGTTATTAAATCTGGTATGTACTTGCTAGTTTAGGTGTGTATTAAATTAAGTAAAACTCAATCCAATCCAATTGACCCAGCCAGCAGATTAACGTGATTTGGTCACAATTTATTTATATCTTGAATTAATTACTCTTAGCTAAAAAAGAAGAGATTTAAACTCAATCTCTCTTCATGAAGTTCAAATAAAAAAAGGATATGAATATTAATTGAACTACATATAGACTCGTTATTCATTAAAAATCATATGAAAAAAAATAAAGTAAGGTTATTATTATATAATTGACATAAAGTATATAGTAGCAAATCAATGAGTTCATTAACATGCATTATTGAATCTATAATTGACATAAAGTAAGGTTATTATTATTAAAATGTATATTAATCACAACCAGCTATGTATCTATATCATATTAGTGTTAGGTGGAGAAAATGATAGACCACCCACTCTTTTAACTTTGCATGCTTTATCTATTTTATTTTTTGTCTGCTCTTTTTTTTTGTTTCCTCAAATTATAAATTTAAAAATGTTTAGTTAATTAATATACATTATCATTTTACACCAATCTCACCGAAATCTCTCTTAAAATCTTATTAAAATAACTATATAATATATAAATATAAATATAATTTTTTTTTCAAACCGCAACAGGAAATACTATTCAACACAAAGACTCTTCATTCAATTGTTGCAGTGTATTTCTTTGGGCAACCTTTTCTTTGAATTATTGACGTTGACACACACACACAGACGCACACGTTGCAACCTTCCACCTCAGTCTTCAATCAATTCTACTTCCAAATTAATATCTCCCATTGCATCGCCACCCTAACTTTCTTTTGTTGGCCTTTGCCATACACATGCTGCTCATCAGATACTCCCTTCGAATCTAGCGAACATGGCTATGGCTAGTTTTCTTGCTGTGTTTTTATTGATGGAGTTAATAGCAGGTGGTTACAGAGACGGAGCGAATGGCCTAAGCATGAACTACTACTTTTTCAGCTGCCCATCTGCCGAGGCAATTGTGAGGAACACAGTAACAAGTGCTTTGCAGTCTGATCCTACCTTAGCAGCTGGTCTTGTTAGGATGCATTTTCATGATTGCTGGATACAAGTAATTGCCCTTTTCTTTTTTCTTTTTTAGTTTACTATCTCATTAATTATCCATGCACCTCTCTCACATTCATGCAAAATCTTTATTACTAGGATTATTGAAAATATCTTAAGCTCAAAATTTTGATTTGGAATATATGAGATTTATGCACATTAAACAAAGTTTACTTTATACTTTGTAACTCGCTTATGTCACAAATATTATATTCTTCCAAGGCCTTCAAATTTAGGAGGAAAAACAGCCTTGGCATAGAAAAGGTACTCCATCATGTAGTTGTGAAGTAATCCTTTAATCTAGGATCTAGATGGGGCTAGATTAGTAAAAAAACATGGATTTTTTTTTTTTAAATGTATGTTGACCTTGGTTAATCCTAGCTAATTCACTATCCAAGTTTTAATCCGGTTTAACCTTGAACTATATTTGGAAATTATGCTCCATGGAGTTAAATCGCCTAGAAACAAGTGGGTTTAGAAAATAAAAATGAAAAACTCATCCATTAATATATATTGATAACTTGTACTTCATGCACAATTAATAATCATGATTTTCATATTTTTCTTAATTTAATTCATAATATGTTTATGCAGCAAAATATTTGATTCTGATATTGTGTGTGTGTGTATTACTTCATTAAAATTAAGCAGTTCAATTGTCTCTTAATCATTTTTTTTTCTTGGTGGGACTGTTCGTAATAATTTAAATAGGGATGTGATGGGTCTGTCCTGCTTGACTCAACAAAGGATAACACAGCAGAGAAGGAATCTCCAGGAAATCAAAGCGTGAGAGGCTTTGAACTCATTGATGATGTAAAGGAGCAACTTGAAAAGCAATGCCCTGGTGTTGTCTCATGCGCTGACATTGTTGCTATGGCTGCTAGAGAGGCTGTTGCTTTGGTAACAATTCAATCCAGGTTTTGATTTTTATTTTTTGAAACCCAACCCAGACCAGGTTCCGGGTTGATTGGGTCTCGAGTTAACCTGCGTGGTCGGGCTGGGTTTAATAACACCGGTGTAACATCTACTGATATATGATGGTCTGGTCATGGTGGGAATTACAGTCAGGAGGTCCAGTATATGACATACCAAAAGGAAGAAAAGATGGAAGGAGGTCTAAGATTGAAGATACTCTCAATGCGCCTGCTCCAACTTTTAATGCCTCGGAGCTCGTTAGAGTCTTTGGCCTCCGTGGTTTTAGTGCCCAAGACATGGTTGCCTTGTCTGGTAAGCGGTGACCCAATCCCATATATATATATATGGGATCTTCTTTGTATTTAACTGGACCTGGGATCAATCCTTAAAGGAAGGTTTCTTAAGGATGATTCTGCTCTAATTCTTTCCTTTTCTTCCCTTGAAATCTTATAGTTTTGTGACAAATTGGTCTATGCAGGGGGGCACACACTAGGGGTGGCAAGGTGTTTAACGTTCAAAAATAGGTTGAGTGACCCTGCTGACCCGACTATGGATTCATACTTTTCAAAGACCTTGTCCAAAACATGTAGTGGCGGAGACGATGCAGAACAAACATTTGATATGACAAGAAATAATTTTGATAACTTCTACTTCCAAGCATTGCAGAGGAAATCGGGAGTTCTTTTTTCAGACCAAACCCTATACAATAATCCAATAACAAAATCAATTGTCAAGGGCTACGCTATGAACCAGGCTAAGTTTTTCCTTGATTTTCAACAGGCAATGGTGAAAATGAGCTTGCTCGATGTCAAGGAGGGATCACAAGGAGAAGTAAGAGCAGATTGTCGTAAAATTAACTGAATGTTGTTGTGAAATGGTTCTTGTACGTAGATTAAGAGAATAGATTTGTCGTCCTCGTGTAGATTATTAAAAATTTCCTATAAATTTAAGCTGCTTGACTTTATGATGGGTGATAGCAATATGGAGCTAGCTTTAACCTTAGTATTTGTATATTTGAGATTTCGGAGTGAGTAAATAGTTGAAGCATTGTCCATATATCTTCATGATGTTGCTGGATGACACTATATTTCACATGAAACAATTATATAGCTTTGACTTGGAAGGCACTTTGCATTTGTGTATTTGATGCTCCATGCTTTTGTGGGCTAACATAAACATCATTTATGGTCGCATGAATGCCAGGATATCTGCATCGTGGATGGAATTTCTTCCATTTTTCTTCCCTTTTTTTTACTGCATGCAGGTTCTTTAAGCCTGTGATTTAGGGTGAATGAAATCTATTGCGTGCCTGTGATCTTACTGTGCAGCAATCCCATATCTTTCATGCCTTGATGACATTGAAGCAAGTTAACAAAGAAAAGAGATCATGATTAGCCGTCTAGCAAATCCACAGTCCGACACTACATGGTAAAGAAATTATAGAAACTGCTTGCAAGTTCCCTTGTTTAACATTGTAGCCTTAATCTTAGGATCATGGAAGCATCAATTAGTGCCTGTGTTTATCGTGATCACACCCCTAATCCTGCTATATACTTAAACTTTTCTTAATCAGGTCTCCTAAGCTCAACCTCGACACCCCTTTGTCGAGTTCAAAAATATTCCCACCCCATTTTCTTGCATGAAGAACTCGACTTAATTTTCATCAATTCAAACTTGAGATCTCACTCTACAGCATGATTCGACAACAAGATCATATATATGCATGCATGTGTTGTAAAGCACCTCCTCTTTCTCTATTGAATTAAAAACAAACAGGATATTGAGCTTAAGAAACTTCAAGACATATATAAATGCTTTAAGACGGGGACAGTTACACGAATGTGAAAAGGGAGGCCACGGAAATAGTTACTTCACTGGGAAGCGGTTCGGAATCTCGTTCTAAGTGGTGTTTTTAAAATATTTATTTTTTTAATATATTAAAAGAAAAAAATCATCTGGAAAATTACAGCTTACACACCCCTTAATTGAGATTGTGTCATTGTTCATTGTCCTGTTGCCATTTTTTTGTTCTGTGGAAAATATTTTGCCTTTTTTGCACTTTCCTTTGGATTTTGTCACTGTTCATCTGAACATTTATTTTTTTCGCAAATATTTTTCTTTTCTCTGCTCTTCCCCTCACATGGGGTCACTGTGCATTGTAGGGTTTTGTCACTATTCATATAAACAATGCTTTTTTTTTTTTTTTGCAAATACTTTTACTTTTTCTTCACTTTCTTTCTCTGCATTGTTCATATGACTCTGGTTTTTTTCTCTCTTCAAAATACTATTATTAACAAAACTAATCACATGAACAACGCATTTTTTCGCAAATATGTTTCTTTATTCTGTATTCCCCCTCGCTCTGCTCTGTTTACATGAACAATTAATTTTTATCTCTTTTTTTTTTAATTACCAAGTATGCTGAACGAACTTGGAAAAACTTTTTCCAGCATATTTTTCCCATTTTTCTTCACTTTTCTCGTTATTGTTCACATGAATATATAGTGATATTTTTATTTTATTTATTTGAAGATTATCAAAATATACTCAAACCTGAATAATACATTTTTTTTTTCATATTTTGATCATTAAACTCCTTTTATTTTCAATTTTATCCTCTCAAATTATATTATCATTATTTTATATATTGATATTTTTTTTTAATTATATGTTCTCGCATGTACAAAGTGTTGAGTGATATCCGAGAATAAATTAAAAATCAAATTTGTGATTTTTATTTATAGTTGGAAAGGAAATTAAAAGAATTAACTTTCACACAAAAAAAACCCACCTTTGAATATTGACATGGAAAACAATAATTCCCTCCCTAAAGTTTTAGTTTATCTATTGTTCAGTCCATATTGTTTTAGCTTTTATTTTTCAATTTTAAACTTTTTTTTTTATGTTTTAGTCCTTGAATATTGAGAGATGCGAAAAAATATCTTTAAAAATATTGAGAAGAGAGAAAGTGCTCAAATAACTATATTTTAACTAAAAAAATATTGATCTTAGTATCAATGAATTTGTTTTTTTAGATAGTTCAATCAAGGTGGTGATACCTTCTAACCATGCTGAAACAAATAGATTGATCAAGTCCTTCAAATTTTTTGGATTCATTTAATTTTTATTTTTTAGAGAGATCAAAGGCTATTTAAGAGTTGAAAATGAATTTATTAAGGATTTTAGAGTTTTTTAAAAGTATTTTCAGGTAAAAACAAGTTGAAAATTAAATTTTTAAGATCTAGATAATCAAATTTGATTTTCTAATTAGTAGAGGTGGCTGCAAAGTATTGCAGAGGAAAACATTCAAATCATATGATTCATGTGAAAAAATCAGGTAGACGAATAATTATGTTGTAAATTTATAGTTCTAGCATCAACTATTTATATATCTTCTATGGATTGTGACAGCTTCCGAGTTAACAAAGATCCTGAGAATTACCCAAAATTTTCTACAGGACATTAATTTCAAAAATTAGGGACCCAATTGATGAAAACATTAGTTTGGACAGCTAATTGACAGTTAGTGTATAAGTTGGGGACTAAAAAAGAGTACCTCTCTCCACATAAAACTTACGGTTCATCCACAGCGATTGCTTATAAAGAAAAGAAACGATTGAATTGCTGTTTTAATCATTGGAGTTAAGCATACTCCACCAGCTCTTATCACATTTCAACAAAATTTCAACCATACTATATCTGTTATCATGTTTACTGAAATTTATTTAATTCATCTAGCAAATACAGAATATTTAGTTAAAAAAATAATACAAATTCATGTCTACAAGAACTCCAGCAGCAACTGTACTGTTGATGAAGATTTTATTTACGTGCTGTGAACTGGTAGGAAGCATAAGAAAGGGTGCCATTGTCCCAGCTATGGTGCACTAGCTTCGCCTTGGCATTTTCACCCGCTGCCCCCATGGCCACATGCAAAGGGTAAAAGTGGTCTGGCCAAGGATGAGCCATTCTTCCATATGGTGCCCTGGAGTCGTAGTGATTCACGTCTTCATATCTGCACAAGATGATAGAGAAAACCATGGAAATCAATTGAGGAAACTTATAGCTATCATTGATTAGTGTAATTGAGTGGAAATGTAGAATGCATTTTGATGTACAAATAATAGAGTAAATTGAAAGAATCTGGAGAATATATTCAACAGAGAACATCCCAAGAAATCGATCAAGTTAAGCACACTGATAAGCAACAGCGGTGGCCGCTGCCTGGTGCCTGTTGCTTTCCTCAACAAGCATCCCACTTCTTAAAAACAGATTGAGATTCTCAGCTATACTTTGAAAAAACAGTTTAAATCTCAAATGTTACCATAATACCAGTTCTATCAGCAGTTGCAACACATGTTCAAAGTTGTTACCAGCAGAAGCATCAAGAAAGCAAAATTGATCGTTATCTTGAAAAAGATACGCCTAAATCCTAATAAAAAAGAATGGAATCACTTCAATCATTAAAAGTGGAGTTGCTCCGAAGAAAAAAGTGTGACTGTCTTGAATTCACAACTACTCAAATGAAACAAACACAATTTCTAATCAATCACACATGATGAAAACCAAGAATACCTACAACTGGATATTGGAAAACTCCCAAGAAAAGTTTTTTAGAAAAAAGTTCTCCAGAAACTGATAATTACAAAAGTCACAACCCTGCCGAATCCATATTCCATACCACCCTCCCCTATGAATATATGAGTTTCATTAATTCATCGAAGACTACATCAGTTACAGGATGAATAGATATGATGCCCTGACTTGCAGGTGTCTAGTATATTACAAGCAAAGACTTTTCCTAAGAGAAAACATACCTTCCTTCAAGAAGGGCATTTTTTAGCCAGGTATCAAACTGCAAAGCCCATGAAGGAACAGGACTGCCACTGGGTTGCATGGTCCCCAAGTTGTGAGTAGTAGCTCCAGATCCCATGATGAGGATACCTTCCTCCCTAAGGGGGGCCAATGCCTTCCCCAAGTTATAATGGTAAGTTCCATCTCTATCAGTCTGAACAGAGAGCTGGCACACTGGAATGTCAGCCTCAGGATACATGAACATCAGAGGAACCCATGTGCCATGATCAACTCCTCGTGTTTTATCTTCATGAACACGCTTGAAGCCATTTGCCATGAGCAGTTCCTTCACCCTCTTTGCCAATAGTGGAGCACCTGGCGGTGTATATTTGAGCTGGAAGAAGGGGAAAAAATATTGGAAACATAAATAAAAAGATCCAATTAACAGTATAAAGACAAGTCCAATTAACAGTATAAAGACAAGTTTCAACTTAAAAACACTAACTAATTAATTGTGGGTTCACTACGTGCAACTATCAACTCCGATACCGGTCCTATTCATAGCCAAACTTCCCTGTATGCTGTTCTGTTCAGATTTATTACTAACTCTATACACGTAAATGCCCCCCAAGTCACTGTAGAGTCTAGCAGAAACAGTCTATCATCAACAAGACTTTCGAGGCCTGTTCACTTAATAGGAAAAACTGACTATGACCTCTCTAGAAACTCCGAGTCCATTACCTTTGTCTGCCTTTTAATCATCACCAAGATGAAATTCTCCAATGTAAGAAACTTTCAACAGATCAATAACTCTCCACTGCAGGAGAAAGCAACAGATAACAACAGCCCTAAGGTTTAGAACACTATATATTATAGCGGATATCTCTAGCAGTGTAATCACAGTTTTAACAAACACTATGTATTATAGCGGATATCTTAAACAGTGTAATCACAGATTTAACAATTAGTTTCAACTTGAGACTCCAAATCATGCAATTAGATCACAGACATCAATAAAAAACTTATTCTTTTTCCACAATATCTCATCATATCTATCACTCTTAAGAGTTTATCAAGCTACAATTAGAACAAAATTTCACCAACCCAGATAAGAAAAAACCTTCAAAAAAAAAAAAACACAAAACTTTCGAAACATCTCCACATGTATAACACATAAAAGAAGCAATTAGCCCACACCAAAGAACTAAAGACATTCTTCTACCTAAATATCAGATCATAATCTCTCAAAACTTAATCAACCTGAAAACTCACCAACCCTGATAAGAAAACCCATGGAAAAAAAAAAACAGAAAACTTTGAGAGAAAAATAGATCAAAAGTACCTTATACATGGATTTGGGGAAGCCATAGAAGTCATAAATGGTGTCATTGCGATTAACAACATTAACAGTTGGTTCTTTGGTATCCCAATGGCCAGAAATAACAAGAATGGCTTTAGGTCTTTCTTTGAAAATTTGTTGCCATGTCTTCAAGAATTTCCTCGCTGGTATGCTTTCATCGATCGCCATCATTGGTGACCCATGGGAGATATAAACCGTATCCATCAAACCCCTTTTGCAAATTGAAAAAAATCTGTACTTTTGATTCAATGAATGGAGCAAACACATTAATAGCAACAAGAAAAATATTCTCTTCTTCTTCTATGGTACCATATATATATATATATAGGAATTTCGACAGGGTCTCGCAAAGCGATGAGTTTGGTTTGACCTTGACCTTCTTGATGATGTCTTGGCTGACGTTGTTTTTGTCAAATTGATCGTTGTGTGTGGTAATGATTTTCATATTTGGTCGGCAATGTAAAGTCTATCTTGTATCTAATATATGTATTAAAAGTTTGTTGGGTGAAGATGTGTTTTTTAAAAGTAGTTTTTAATTGAAAATTTAATAAATTTTTAAAATTTTTCTTATATTAGTGTACTAAAATTATTAAAAAATCTAAAAAATATCAATTTAATATTTTTTTCAAATAAAAAATAATTTAAAAATAGGTTTAATAAAAAAATAAATATTTTCAAAAAGTCTGTTTAAAATTATGATCCAATTTCTCCCTAACCATAAATTTAAAAATATTTAATTAAATCTTATCTACCATAATTTTGTATGGATATTACTAAAAAAATTGTTTTGAAATATAAGAAAAGCTAGTTTTTTTTTAATATTTTTGCTTTTTTTTTAAATGGCAACCAAAAAATCCCGGGCATGTCCTTATTTAACATAGAACTAAAAGATATAAGTGTTTTATTATGAACTGTTCAGTGTAATTCATAATAAAACGACTAATTTGCTAGATATAAATAATTAGAGTATATATAGGGGTCATATAATAGTTTTACATTTTTGTTACGCAGTGTAATTACGCCCATTTTATTTTATTTTTTTATTTAAAAAAAAGCCCTAGATCTGAGGGGCATGCTTTTGAACTCTACCACTGGACGGTCTTGTAATATTTGTTCCTGAAAGACGCAGAAAGACATTGCAAGGATTCTCGAATTTTGCTTGCGAACCCTTTAACGGGACATCAGTTTCATATTCATAGTCCTTGCAAACGCCATTGTAGGTTCGTTCTAGCAGTTTCGCCATGCGATCAACAATTTGTCATAGCTTTCTCCACTATATTCCCTTATTTACAATCTATAGACAGGGAAGAGATCATGACGGTGACCGGATTATCATTGACTATGCTATTGAGTGGTACTTGTTCACCTGGTTGCTTGTTCCAGGATTCATTGAATTTAGTTGCTTCAGATGAACAATATTTTTTCTTGGCTCAATTGCAAAGCTCAAAATTAAGCGTTTATGTGCTAGACGTTTTGAGGATGGAATGCGTGAAGGTGAACAGCTTAGGCAATCAAGAAGCAACCAGGCCGGAAGAATAAGCATCATTCCATGTTCCATCTGTGTTTTAGTCCTGTCAATGCCATTCATCCCCTTTCTCCTTACAGCACTAACTCGTGTTCTGTATCATATAGGCTTATCAGCAGCAACAAGGTTCACGAGGATTTCCTTAAAGAAGAGAGTAGCTATATGTATAGACAGAGAAATACATTGGGACTTTTCCCTCCTCTGCAAATTATTTCAAGTTAATATATACGATGCAACATTTACCAAGTGGAATTTACTGAACTAATTCGCAGAAGATGGCCGGTTCTCCGTAGGAGTTTATGGAATCAGAACAGTATGATCCGTTTATAGACATGCTACAAGTTTGGCTTGGATTCTGCCAGAAATGGTTTCTTATAGCCTTGTATTTTGTGTTGATCGCGGAAAACCCAGGATCAGAAAGAAGGTCCTCAACAGGAGTTTGGCCTTCGAGCATGCTCACAACTTGAGACCTTGTAGGTCTAAGAGTTGGGGACGACTTGGTGCATAAGACAGCGACATTTAGCATCACCATTGCTTCCTCTGAAGAATACTCTGACCCCAATTCTGGATCAACCACCTCCGAAAGACTTCCTCTCTCTTGCAAAACATAGGCCTGACAGAATCCCAGATAAATGCAAATAAGGAGGCTATAATATATTCAAAATGGTAAAATGATTATAGGAAGTTCAGCAGAAATAAAGAACAACAAATGCAGATATATGGTAGGCTGGAACCAAAAGATATTAGGAAACAGGACGAATTGTCTTCGGCAGATAAAAAAATGTCGTTTATCAGGTTGAATAGTTTGCGAATTTGACGAGACATTACATGCAACGATGAAAAATTGGCAAGAAAAATACGAATGGCTAGTTCACTTACAGATACTATGTTCTGTTTTCCAATGAGCATTAAACCAATAATAGCTTAAAATATTTTACAATATGCTTCTGATGGAAGGAAGAAATTAACTCACCAAATAGAGCACGGGACAGGCAATTGTTCTCCATGTACTCGTACACAAGCTTTAATTGGTTTCCTCCAGCACAGCATCCATACAACTTTACAAGATTTGGAGGTTGCAGTGCAGATATCATTCCTATCTCATTCACAAATTCACGGTTTCCTTGCTTAGATTTTGAGGAAAGCAGCATCACTGCAATCACAGTTCCATCTGATAATGAACCCTGAGTCCAGTAATGAAAAGTTCCCACTATAAGAAAATAAACTCAAGAGAAGAGAAAGGGATGAGAACAGAGAGATCAAGAATAATTGCCACGCTCAAAAAGTACTTTTCTATTCTATTGAATGCAGTATAAATATTGGTACATGGGTTAGACTTTCTCAAGTCTATTTACAGAAATTCAGCAATATAAAGTAAGTCCAATCAATTATATATATTACAAAGAGAATGTCAATTAATGATTCTAAGTGAGGAATGTCGTTGCTTGTGATTAGGAGACTTCCAAGGCTGATGTAGTGGGATCAGCAGACTACATGGCACTGACAGATTTGATAGGATCTGCTCGTGTAATATTCTCTTTACCCACCTCAAACTTATGGCTAAGAATTAATAATTTGCTCCGCTTTCTTTATTTCATTTAAGACAATGATGGTCCTGTGAGAGAAAGCCTATCTGGCCTTTTCCAAGGCCATTGAAGAGTAGTTGGAGTCCTTGAGAACAAGCCATTCCACATAGTTTCATCTCATATTGTTTAGTGGTACACAAAACATCATGGAAACTCTCAAGAATATTTCTTAAGAAAGCAAATGATAATCATATTGACAATGATTGCTTTGAAAGGGAATCATTAGGGAGCCTCTGGATGGAACCAATTACAAACGTTTCAGTTTTTCCAGCTCCCCAAAATGGTCCGGGACCTATCCAACTATTAAGCAGTTCCTCAAAACCCTGCATTTTCAAAATCGTTGTACAAATCAAAGGTCAAGAGCATTAGCTGAAAAGGACATAAGATTAGAAGAACTCCAACTCACAATGTTTTTATGGATTCCATATTACTCAGTGGTAGGTAAGAAGACCCTCTTCCTGTTAAGTCACTGATCCTCCTTCAAGTATCATAGAGCATAAAAGCATGGTATCATAAGCATACTACATATACATAAAAACAGAATTCAGATATTCTGTTTGCTTACTAATCACTTAGTCTGGTCAAGGAAGTAATGCTAGACGGTACAGATATTTTGAACCCGTGTTCATTTATGGATGAAAGCAGGTAACTTCCCTGATAAATTATTATCATTCATCATCCTAAAAGGTGTCATAGAAATACAAACTCAGAGAGTTTTCTAAAAGTATTATTGTTCACCATAAAATTTAGATAAAAAGATGAAGAGCAACATGGGTGTTTTTTGTTCTTTTTTTGCCTGGAAATCCAGTCACTCAGGCTTCAACCTTTTTTCCCATTCATCTTCTTCTCCTTTTTTGTTATTCTTAATGTTGGGCTTCTATTGATTTTTTATTGGTTTTTTTTTTATCAATTTTTATAATATTTTTTTAATGTAATATGATTTAATTTTTACTTAGTTTATGAATAAAGTTTTGACATTATTTTTTTTTAATATTGAAAGGTATTCTGTGTGTGTAGCCCTACTTATTATTATTTTTTTTTATTTTTTATTTTGGGATTGAACAATGCTTTGGTAAGAGTTTTTTTTAATTATCTTTTCATTAAATAAAATATTAGTAACAAAAATCAAAGTTATTAAATATAATTGAGTCTATAACTTATATTTCAAGATCAGATATTAACATTTATCTCTTAAATTCTAATTTGGTATTTTGTTAGATATAATATAGTTTTTACTTGATTTTCACATAAAATAATAATTATTTTTACTAATATGTACATCTTTATATACTATTTTTGATTAAAAGCTTTAATTGTTTTATTCACCAAATAATACGGTTGTACCCAAAAATTACCACAATTAGAGTGTACTAACAAGAATTCCTAGACAAAAAAACATTTAAAATCCAATAATAAAACATTTAATAATACGGTTGTTGATGGTGAGGAGCTCTCCAACTGCTTCACTTGTCTTGCAGCGCATCCGACCTGGTAATAGAATAAACACATCACTCATTAAGAGGACACATAGCTTATGCTTAATTCATTATTAAAACAACAATGCTTTCTTTTAATTTAATATTATTTTAAGGGCAGTGTCGTCACTCACCCTCCAACACATACCTTACAAAGGGATATAGTCCTTTTTGCTTTGCCTCTTTTTCCTTTTTGGGTAACTTGAAAATAAAAGGTTGAGGCAGCATTACATGGGATTGTGGTGCAAGGGTTGACGAAATAAAGGAAATTTAAGCAGCATTAAATTTCCTATTATTATTGCTATTTTAAATTATTATTCCAGTTTGACGTGAGCAACCCCGCACTCTTCCACGCCTGCTCAGAGCCAGCAAAGCCGCCTGCATCAACGTTAATCGAGTTAGTTGACGTGACGAGAATCAATAAGAGAAAAGATGGTATTCTATGATTTACTCACAAAATACGACATCGTGTGGATTAGGAACCACTCAATAGATTCTAATTCATTAACCTTAAATTCCTAGTTATTAAATAGAGGAATCACTAAGAAAAGAAAGTCTTGAGGTTGGGATGATCAGTCAACCTGTCTTGTATGCACACAACAATTGATTCTATTTCATTAAACTTAAATTAAAAGCAAATTGAGAGATTGTATACACAGAACGATGCTTACCCGGTCTCGTCCAAACATTACAAAGGGACGAAGGACATCCTTGGTGTTAGGATGCTCCCACTCCACTACTGACTCCCACCATTCTTCTGGTTCAATATAGATTTCTTCAAGAGAAGAGGGAGGAGATGGAAGACAAATTCCCATCCTCTTCAGCTTCTCACAATTACTTACATCAATTACTCGGAGAGAATCGCAAATCAGTTTTGCACTACAAATGCTTTTTAGTTCTGGTAAATTTTTCAAGCGCAGTACTGTCAACTTTGGGAGTTTGAATTCGGTGTTTCTGATGCTGCTTTCTTCACCCATATCCCCTTCTTCATCCGATCTTGCTCCACCTATTATCTCCTCCATTTTCTCACATCCTTCAACAACAATCCTTTCCAGGTTTACCAGGCGAATCCAGGAAGATGGAACCAAGATTTCCATGACACTGCAATTCCTTACTTCAATTGAAAGATGGAACAAAGATTTCTCTGATACTGCAATTCCTTACTTCGATTACTCGGAGAGAATCGCAAATCAGTTTTGCACTACAAATGCTTTTTAGTTCTGGTAAATTTTTCAAGCGCAGTACTGTCAACTTTGGGAGTTTGAATTCGGTGTTTCTGATGCTGCTTTCTTCACCCATATCCCCTTCTTCATCCGATCTTGCTCCACCTATTATCTCCTCCATTTTCTCACATCCTTCAACAACAATCCTTTCCAGGTTTACCAGGCGAATCCACGAAGATGGAACCAAGATTTCTCTGATACTGCAATTCCTTACTTCGATTACTTCGAGAGAATCGCAAATCAGTTTTGCACTACAAATGCTTTTTAGTTCTGGTAAACGACTCAATTCCAGAAATCTCAACTTTGGGAGTTTGACTTCGGTGTTTCTGATGCTGCTTTCTTCACCCATAACCCCTTCTTCATCTGATCTTATTCCACCTATTATCTCCTCCATTTTCTTGCAACCAATAACTTTAATTACTTCCAGGTTTACGAGGCTTGGCAGCAAGACGAGGGGGAACAACTTCTTCATGCTTTGACAACCAAAACAATGAAACTTTTTAAGATCAGAAAATATACCTTCGCAAGATGGAGATGGCAGTGAAGCAGAGCAGTACCAAGAAGATGAAACCAAGCTCTCCATGCTATTGCAATTCGTAATTTCGATAAACTCCAGATTAGTTGCATTCTTTATTAGAGAGGAAACATCGCATAAACTTTTTGCACCATCAAATTCTTCCATGGTCAGTTGTTGAATGTCCTTCCAAAACGTTCTCAGAAAATCTCCGTCTCCGTTGATAGTCAATTTACCCAAAACAATTTCTTTGTCTTTGCCTTCTATATAATATTTGTCAGGTAGCAGTCCTACAAAAATTCTATATTTTGTTGGTGATCGGGTCTCATCCCGAGATTTGAGATACTCCACAAAGTCAGAGTAACCTTCAAAATGGCATTCCAAAGTTTCCAACTCCCTCAAGCATCCCACTTCCTTTCCTTTAACTGTTATCGGAGTGCACTTCTCCAATACAAAGACTTGCAGGTGAGAGAGTTTAGGTAATATCCCACTAGGAAACTCCTTTTCACCCCACCTATTCATTCTAAGATACCTCAAGTTGGATAGAAATTCCATGCCTTGAGGAATCTTTTCAAGTGCCCAAGTACCAGAGAGATCTAACCTCTTCAGTGCCCTCAGCCTTTCTAATGACGGTACATGCCTTAACATATTACAACCAATGAGCAGTAATGCAGTGAGACTCACCAATTCAGAGACAGAATCAGGCAGTTTTCCGATACCTGTATGAGACAGGTCAAGAACCTTGAGCCCACGCAACTGGTCAAAAAATGAATCTGCAATAAATTGCAACGCCGAATTGCGGCATAACAGTAGAATGGATAGGCTGGGACAACATGGTGAATGGCTGGAAGGAATTTCCTTAATTTGGTTATGCATCAGTGAAACTCTAGTAAGATTCTCTGTCCACTCCTCTACACCCGGCACTTCTCTTAACCGTGCACCTGCTTTAACCATGTCTTGAGAGTTCTCTTGCAGTATTTGGATGGCCATATCCCTAATCAAGTCATGCATCTTGACACATCTACGACCACCGTACATTTTAGCACTTTCCAATAGGCAGACTCTTTCGAGTTCATTCAGCATCGAGTGGCCTTTGTCAAATTCTGCCTCCCTACTCGTCAGCCCTTTTATCACTCCCTCGTCAATCAAATAACCTATCAAATCCTCTCTACGGATCTTGAAGTCTTCCGGGAATAATGCACAGTACAAGAAGCATTGTTGCAGTTCTAACTCCTTTAAGAGCATATAACTAAATCTCAGTATGTGGAATACCTCAGGCTCCATATCATCTTTCCGAACTCTTGATTGTTTCAGCTCCTCTAAAGCATTCTTCCACTCACATCTGTCATCCACTCCCCTCATGGTTCCGGCCATTGTTACAATTCCAAGAGGCAAACCAGCACATTCACTTGCAATAGATCTTGCAATTTCTTCCACTTCTGGAGGAATACGTCCAAGTACCTTCATGAACAGAGCCCAAGCTTCTTCCATTGAAAGAGGCTCCACTTTGATTGTCTTCTGGCAGAACATCCGCTGACAAACTCCAAGTGATCGAGTTGTAAGAATTAGTTTGCATCCCTTCACTCTGATAGGAATTCCCAACTTATTATAATCAAAACAGTCCCACAAATCATCTAAGATGAGAACCCACCGTTGTTTCTCAGTTAATGCTTTTGACAGTTTTGCAGCCCTTTTCCTCTCGTTGTCTTCATTTGAAAGATCTAAATGAAAGTCTCTTGCAATAAGATTCTGCAATTTATAAACACTAAAATCCTGCGATACCGTGATCCAGTGAACATGAGGAAAAGTGCCACGTTCTTGTAAAAGCTGATTGTAGATATGTGTGAGCAATGTTGTTTTGCCAACACCCCCCATCCCGTAAATGCCAATACTTGATGAGGCTTCATCATTCATTATCCACGACCAGATAACATTCTTATTATTTTCAAACTCTCCACCTGTTAGTTCTTCAGTTAGAAACACATCTGGTCCGCTCTCATTGCCATTACGTTGAAGAACTTCACGAGAGCTATCTCTCACAACAGGATGCCCAGGGTCTCCAACCATGTTCACTAGTGGAGGACAGTGTTGATCTTCTTGAGGCTCATCGTGATTAACAAGTGGCCTCTCATGAGAACTACCTCTTACAACAGGCTGACCAGTTACTCTCTCCAGATGTTGCCCTTGTGGTGCCACATTGTCGACTTCAACATGTAAGCTAGTAGGTAATGGATCTCCTGGAGTCTCATTTGCGTTGCCTGTAAGCCCTCCAGAAGAGCTAGCTCCTGCACCAGGCTGCGCTCCTCCTCCAGTCCCATTCTCTATATCACCCTCCATTAATTTCCTGAGCTCTTCTATACGTATTTCAAGTGCGTGATCCATTCTATCTGCTGCTTGTGTCGTTCCTGCATCTCCTGCCAAATTGTCGACTTCATTATTGTTTTGTTCTTGTGGAGCGGTTGAAATGGCATTATCATTAACATTGCTTGAACTTGCTATGCTTTTATGTCTTTTGTTGGCACCATGCATAGCTAGAAAAGCTGCTTCTTGAACGTCTTCGGTCACTTTGTCACAAATTTCAACACCTTGCCGTTTCTCTCCTGATAAATGCCATTTGATCCTTGAAATGGAAGTACCCCTAGCAAATTGATGCCCACAATAAATACACTTCATCTCCTCAACATAGTGCCAAAATGGGTCCTTTGATTGAACCATTTTGCCCTACATATAAAAACAGAGTCAAAATATTGAATAAAATTAATGTAAGTTGCATCAATCGGAAAAGGAAAGGTTGAAACTAAAATAATAAGTTAAAAACAGCAAATAATATAAAAAGAAAAAAATGAATTTGGTATGAACTCCATAAGGCAATTTATTTATAAAAACTACGAAAGATCAATTTATTTATATTTGGAAACTATTAATGATACAAAATCCAAAGTTTCCCAATAAAATTTGTACAACTTGTGTTTTACTTAGAAAGATTCAAGCAATAGTTACTTGTCAAAAACAAAAACAGCAACAAAATGAAGAAGATTCGGGTCGTGACATATAAATACTTTACCTGGATTCAAAAGAATTTTAACAAAAGAATCTGAAGCTAATTGCTGAGTGGGGAAACGTGTGGACGCGCCCCAATCTTGAAACTCTGGGAAAGCTGATCTGAAAATGTGAGCGCAAGAATATGAGAAAGAGTAGGCAAACTAGTCACCTGTCAAGCTGACAAGAAGCACTCAACAGACAAAAGAAACCTTGAGAGCAGCTGTTTTCAAGATAAGTAGTTTAAGTTGATGGCAATATGTAAGAACAAAGCTAAATATGAGTTCTGAGTTCTAAAATAGATCAAGCAACACATATATAATTAAGTTCTACGTGATTGATCAATCTACAATCCTACTTATTAATTCTACAACCAAATGGGCAAATCTTATTTGAAACAAAATTAGTGGTAGAAAAACAAGAAAAGAAAGTAGGATTTACCTTTCAAGCAAGAAAGATACAGATCAAGAACAGAATACGCGATGATTCGATTCAATCAGAAAAAGGAACCACAGATCATGAGAAAGGTTTAAGAAATTTGGTGAGGGAAATTAGGAAATCAATGGTATACTGAGAGATCTCTCTTAGTGGAAGACTAGCTAGTAAAAAAGTCACTGCAATTGGCTGGAAGCTACAACTCCGCCTACCACAGGTAAACAGCAAGCTTACTTTTAGTCAATAATTGTAAGTGCCTTGTGCTTTCTTTGTCCTGTATGCAAAGACTAGTCTCACCGCCTCCTGGAAACCACCAATGTCACTTTCATGAGTCTCTTGCTTTATTTATTCGCACTAACTATTCAACGTGTTCACATTACACTGCTTCAAATCCTTTGAGTCTACTGTTAGATGCTAAAACAAAGTTGTTATGTACTTTTTAATAAAAAAAAAAAAACCAGATTCATGAGAACAATTAATGAAGATCGAAACTCCAAAGAAAATCACTTGGCCGGAAATAACAGTACTCGGGTCAGCTGCTAGTAGGGATGAGGAAAAAATGGAATAACTGATTAAATAAAAAAAATAAAAAAAACACTGAACTGAATTGAAAATAAATTAACCAATGAAAAAATCATAAAAATTTCTGGTTGACTTCAGTTTAGATTTTTAATTTTTAAAATTAATTTAACTGAATCAATTCAACTATATCATTATTTAACACTTAAAACAACAAATATAAATAAGTATTTTTTTTAACCCTAAATCCAAAATAGCTTTATCTAAAGACAATCAGCCACGCTTTCTTTACTCCCTGCATCTTTATTTTCTCTAATTTTCCTCTATACTCACATCCTAAAATTGTCAGGAATTATTATGCTCTGCTACTCCATACTCCTCTGTTCTCCTATCAAATTCACACTTTTCTTCACTTTTAATTTTAATTTTTTTTAATTCTCCCATCAAATACCAGATTTCCCAATATTCAAAGTTGCAGTGTGTAATGTTTTGAAAATAAAAGGGAACAGAAAAAAAGGCAACAAAACCTTTTAAGGTTTAAAAGTATATATAAATGAATAAAGAGTATTTTGATAATTGAATAAAACCTTACTAAGTATAAATACAAGGAAAAAAGAAAGAGGGATTTGAAATTTGAATTGTTAATTCCTGAGATATGTATGCATCCCTTCATGTGTTGAAATCTGAAGGCCTTTAAGATGGATCACTGTTTCTTCTCAGAAAAAAAAAAGGGGGGGATCATTTCTTATCCATAATTGAAGAAAACGTGTGCTGCGCTTCTTTTTTTTTGCGAAGGCAAAAGGCATTTATCAGATCGAACATATGCAATTATCATGATAGTGATGCTGCACTTTATTTGTTCACACTAACTATTCAACGAGTTCACGTTGCACTGCTTTAAATCCTCGAGTCTAATGAATTAATGAAGATAGAAACTCCAAAGAAAATCACTTGGCCAGAAATAACATACTGCAGTACTGGGGTCTGTGTTAGGAACTTTAAACAAGTAGCTAAGAATTGGAATACTTGAACTGGAATGAATACTTTATTATCAATGACTTTGGCTTTAAATAGCCATTCAATACAATCCTAACAGAACCGGAAAACAAGCTGCATTTTAGCAAGAATAAAGCTAAAGAGATAACAGAAATATTGAACAGATCAATTACTTCTCAATGCCATCCTTGGTTCTCTTTCACCCACAATCCTGTCGTTCATTGCTCAAGCACAAACATCAAAGGAAGCATGGACAATATTAGCTAATACATATGCTAAACCATCTCGAGGCAGAATCAAGCAGGTGAAAAGTCATTTCAAACAAATCACATAAGGCAGAACATTCTGCTGTTCTTGACAATTCGACACATTTTTTTCTGAGGATCAGGTGAATATGGTTCAGTCTATTCCATAAGTATGTCAAGCTACCATTAATTTTTATTTTTTTTAACAGTAACAAAACTCATTGATTTAGGAAAGGGCAAAGCCCAGATAACAAATGACATCCACACTAACAAGGATTTATTCGTCAGGGATATTGATTTCTTGTATACTATCTCTTCGAAACCAGATGTTGATTAATTAATCTATGCTCAGTATAGTATTTCCAGGACTATATATTCTTTCTTTAATGTGTTAATTAACTCATCAGAAGATGCAAATATGGGCATAAAAGATATGGTGGAAACTTCAATTTAGTCACTGAAATATACATAACTTCATAAAAATTGAATTCTCAAATGTTAAGAAAGAAATACAATACAAAATAGTTGACGTTTTTGTATGAATTGTATCACTTTGCCATTCACTTGCTGAATTTCATAGTCTCTAATTTAGAAATGTATATTTTTGGTAAAAATCAAAATCTCAATTCACCAAAACACCAACTTAATTTCAAAGTCCCAAACTTTCGACAAATTTTGGCAAAATTAGGAGAAATAATGTTGAGTTTTCCAAAATTGAGCATGAGTTTTGATAAATGATTGTTAATGTCCAGAGGGAAAGAAGGGATGGAGAGAGAGAAAGAGAGAAAAGAAAGGAGAGAAGGTAAGAAGGAAGAGACTAAATAATATATACAAGGACAATTTAATTATTTTATTAAATTTAAAAATTTTGTTTTTAATGAATCCTTTACAACACCATGTTCTTCTGTCATTGCTTGGCAAAAATGATACTCAAGGATTGATGGGAAAGAAAAGAAATATCTTAGCAATAATTATGCCGAATCCGTTACAACTGATCAATTGAAATGAAACGGGATTTGTGTCTGTCCTCAATAATTAAGCTTAAAAAAAAAATTGATTTGGCCATGTTTTTCGAATAAGGATTTGATGCTTTCTACATGATCAATAATGGATGCACCAAACATTCTGCTTGACAAATCTATATGTCCAATTTCTCTTTGCATAAGCATCATTTTATGTTCCATCAGGTACTGCCAGAGTCATTCACTCCCTTTCTCTTTGCAGCTTTAACTCTGTTCTACATCATATAGGCTTATCAGCTGCAACAAGATTCACAAGAATTTGCTTTGGTACATGAGAGAGCGACATTTAGCATCACCATAGCCTCCTCTGAAGAATGCTCTGACCCCGATTCTGGATCTACCAACTCCGAAAGACTTCCACTCTCTTGCAAAACATAGGCCTGGCAGAATCCCAGATAAATCCAAATAAGGATGCTATAATGTATTCAATACTGTAAAATAAGCATAACAACAAATGCAGATACAAGTTGGGCAGGAACCAAAAAAGATTAGGAAACGAGATGGCTGTCTTAGACAGATTATGAGGATGGATAGTTTGAATATTTGAGGAAACATTACATGCAATGATGCAAAATTGACAAGAAACACGAGGATGGCCAGTTCACTTACAGATACAATGTGATGTTTTGCAATCAAATGTTTTCCAATGAGCATCAAACACGGAATGAACGAGAATGCTAGACAGTATAAGATTACTCGGTCAATAAGGTAAACAAACTCATCCTTTGGCCTGTAGTTTTTGTTGATCTTACCACTTACAATTTCCAAAGCAACAACTCCAAAGCTACAAACATTTTCTTTGTTAGTTTAGTACCCACGCATTGCATACTCAGGAGCCATATAACCACTGACAAATGAAAAAAAAAAAAAAGGTGTTTAAACTCGCTACACAATCCATGGTTTTCACTTGTTTTCATTCTCAAACAGCCATTATTTGATTATGATAATATAAATGATCAAGGGTTGTAAACGCAAGGGCTTTTGTCTGGTGAAATGATCATACACAGCAACACAACAACCAAGCCTCGATCCCAAACTATTTGGGTTCAGCTATACGGATCCTTTTCCATCATTCTACAAGGTGATAAACAAACAAAGAAAGAAAGAAAATGGTAAAAATTTGCGACTAAGAAGTTGCAGGTTCAAAGCTTTGGACCTACCACTTCAAGTATCATGGAAAATGTACATTTTACAAGATATGCATTTTGGGGGCATCTATTGGAGAATGGAGATATGACTGCAAGACAGTTGACACAAAATCACATACAAAGATTCATTCTTGAAAATATAGTCATCTTCAGCCCTGGTTTAAAAAACATATAAATGTTCTCATTGAAGAACTTACATGGTTCCAGCAATCCGAGTGCCGACGTGGGTACTGTCCATCTTCATTTAGCTTTGCCAAACCAAAATCAGAAATTTTGGCATTGAGTTCCTTATCAAGAAACACATTGCTTGTTTTGATATCCCCATGCCCAATTTTTATTATTGACTCTTCATGGAGGTAATCCAAACCTCTAGCTACTCCCAGGCAATTTTTCTGCCTGATAGGCCAGTCCAGTTTCAATCAGAACTTTACACCCTTCCCTGTAAATTATAGAAGATAAAAGACATTCAATTTTTTAAAGCCAAACAAAATACCTTTTTTCCAAAATGCTTCTGATGGAAGGAAGAAATTAACTCACCAAATAGAGCACGGGACAGGCAATTGTTCCGCATGTACTCGTACCCAAGCATCAATTGGTTTCCTTCAACACCACTTTACAAGATTTGGATGTTGCAGTGCAGATATCATTCCTATCTCATTCACAAATTCACGGTTTCCTTGCTTAGACTTTGAGGAAAGCAGCATCACTGCAATCACACGGTTCCATATGATAGTGAACGCTGTGTTCAATAATTAAAAGTTCCCACCTCAAACTTATGGCTACCAATTAATAGTTTGCACTGCTTTCTTTATTTGCCTTGCTACATCTAAAACTAGAAAGAATCCAAAAGGTTTATGGGGAATATATGACCTATTTCCATAGCTATTTTCTACGGCTAACTTATAGAATGTAGTTAGGACAGAACCATTAAACATGCAGTTACCTTGTAAACAGAACTGAAACCACCCTTGCTGACTTTGCCGACTTTGTTTTCCGCATCGAAGTTCCTGGTAGTAGCTTTCATATGTCTTAGTGTGAAAAGTCCTGTTTGCAGATCTAGGCCTCTAAGCTCTGTAAGACCACAGGTTTGGATGTAAAAGAGAATACTCATAAAAATGTTTGATTAAACTATTTTATTCATAAAAAATTAAAATCCCAACTTACCTGTACAGTCAGTATATTCAATGAATGCGATTATTAAATTAGTGGAACCAATTATTATTATATTTTCAAGAATTTAGCTAAAATCTCAACTTACACTTGTACCCTCTATACTATATCGATTGTTGGGATATGAGAAATCTTGGGCCACTCAGAGCCGTTCTCCTTTCTACAATTTTCTGAGAGATGTGGACATCCCCCCAAAATCCACAATCCCTTCAGTTTGGAGAGGCGTTGAATGGCTGTTGAGCTCAGCAGATACGTAAGATTCTTACAATTATCAATCCCAAGATATCGAAGAGAAGAAAGGTTGGCCAACCAATCTGGCAAAGCTTCCTCAAATCCCTCTCCCCTGAAATCACATATTTCCAATCTCTCAAGGGCAGTGAGGTGTTGGAGTTGATGCGGTATGCTCTTCAGTTTATCCCATCCACATATCTCCAGTCTTTCAAGGGATCCACTCAAGTTGAGGTGTTGGAATGAGTTTAAAACTCCTGCAGGAAAAGCCTCCAGCTCCTCTGAGAAACCACCGATGGCCAATTCCTTCAGTTGGGTGAGGCCGCCTAAGCAATCATCGTCTGGGAAATGACTCAAACTCCGACACCCACTGATTTCTAAGTAAACAAGAGAAGGTAATTGTCGTAAACCATGCCGTTCAATACTGCTGATCTTATCACAACCTCTAATCTCTAATCTTCGAAGCGAAGACAATTCTTGTAAATCACTGATATGGATAAGCTCCCTGCAATCCCATATGTACAATTCCTCTAGAGATGCGCAACATTGTAGTCCACTTGGAAGAGCTTCCAATTTCAAATTATACATCGACAATATCTTCAAAGAATATTTCAATTCTTGAAAATCACCAGGAATTGAGATCAACTCAAGGCAGCCATCTATATCCAATTTCACCAGAGCTGTGCAGTGTTGTATGCTTGGAATTGATGTCAGCTTTGGACAACCCTCTATGCTCAACAACTGAAGAGACGTGAAGCCATGAAATTCACCAGACAAATATCTCAGTTCCTCACATCCTGCAATTTCAAATTCCACAAGAGATGAAAGACCACATATCGGAATGCTTCTCAACTTGCCACACCACTCAATGCTCAACTTTTCAAGACAAGGAAATACTTGATCACCTTCTCCACACGGTACCATCCATTCTTCAAGACCATCCATACCCAACAGGCTGAGTTCTTTTAGTGCTGGAAACAGTACTTCTGTGCTGCCACTACTACTATAGAACTCATTGCCTATACATTTCACATTAGGCATTCCACTCATCTCTAGAATCTCAAGGCGAGAAAAACATCCGAGTATTGGGAGTTGTCTGCAGTTGCTGCAATCTTTCAATCTCAGCACCATCAAATTATTGAGCTGCAACATAGACATCCATGATGGGAACTTTTCACCCCAGTAACCCTCAATTGTTAAGCTTTTTATGTCTGGGTGAGGCTGCAGGACACCAAGGACATCCTCGATGTTAACACTGCTATTACCTTCATCACTCCATTTAAACACCAATTTGTTCATTCTTTTTTCACGCAGTTTTGCCTTCTCCGCATCTTCTCTGTCTCTCACTCGCTCAAGACACCATATCTCCAATTCTCCTCTTAGCTCCTTCAAACATCTCAGCTCTTCAATTTTATGATCTGGACCCACAACAAAGATTGGCAACGTTTGTAGACGTGTTAAGAAGCTCACATCAGCCGGCACTAGGTTTTTATCATTAAAATGAAGGTGTCTCAAGCTAACTAAATTTCTCATTTTCTTGGGAAGCTTTTGTTGCCAGAAACAATCAGTGAGTCTTAATGTTTCCAAAAGGTAGAGATTGGTGATGGATTATGGTAATGCTTTGATATTGGTATGTGAGACATCAAGATATCTCAAATGTCTCAGCTTGCAAATTGAATCTGGTAATTCTGTGGTATTAGACCGTTGCAATTTGAGAGTTCTCAAGCTTTTGAATTTCCTAGACTGATTCAATACATCAACCATTGAGAAAACAGTACGCAACTTTATAGCATCAACCGCTTGAAATGTTGACTCAACATCCCCACAAGAAATGAGATTGAGATGAAGAATATGAGATGCACCATCAACAGTCGAGCCCGGCTCTGGATTTAACGTTTCTGCTTTTGAGACCTGTAATGCAAGAGCATGCATCTTGCAACTTGTTACCATCCCATACTCATTCCTTTCAACATCTTGAAAAAGGGAGTTTGCAAGCAACTCATTGAAATACTTGTTTCCCATGTCTTCCATCCTCTGATTTGATGGCCCAAGAAAACCTTCACCCATCCAAAGTTGAATTAGCTCTTCCCTTTCAATTTCAAAATCTTTAGGAAAAATGGAACAGTATGCAAAACATTTTTTCAGTGATGGAGATGACAAGTGATCAAAACTGAATCTCAATATATCCAAAGCTTCATTTCCATCGGTGGAATGCCAAAATCTATTGCTTAGAATTGACTCCCACTCCTTTGTCTCCTTTTGCCGCAGTGTTCCTCCCAAAACATTAGCAAGCAATGGAAGCCCCCCACATTTCTTTGCAATCTCTTTTCCAATAGATTCCGAGTCCGCAGCTAATGGTGCTCCTCCACCCCCACTCACTTTTTGCTTGATAATGGACCAACATTCATCATCTGATAGTTTTTCTGGCTCGAGCTGAATCCCAGGAGAAGTCTCCATCATGCTTGCTACTTCCTTAATGCGGGTTGTAACAACAAAAGCATTCCCATTTTTGCTTTTAATTTTTAACAACCCATCCTTCAAACCATTCCATTTATTACGATTACGATTCCACACATCATCGAGAACGAGAAGAAATGTTTTATTTTCCAGCTGTTTCCTTAGGTTTTGAAGAATTGCATCAATATTCTCCAACGCCCCCGTAGTTTTATCTATCGTTTGCAACATTTCTCGTAAAATCTTCACTTCATCAAAATGATTAGAAACACAAACCCATATTGTTTCATCAAAAAGCTTTCTTTCCTTGACTTCTTTATAAACATTCTTTGCTATAGTAGTCTTTCCGAGGCCAGCCATCCCCACTATAGGAACAATCGAAAGGACATGTTGGGATTTGGTCATTCTAGTCAGCCATTCCACAACTTTAGAGACATCATCCTCCCTTCCTACTACAACTGCTGAGGTGTCAGCTGAGCTGTCAAGGAAGGAATCTGTCTGCCGGGGTGGATCTCGCCTAACTTCAGGGCGATTTGCCAATCCAAGATCACCGCCCAGTTTCAGGATTTCATCTAAGGCTCCATGGATCCTCTTGACTTTATGACCCATTTTCCAACGGAATACAATAGGGTTGTGGAGTGAAACAAAATCACATACCTTTCCCTTCTGTTCATAATCAAACTCGTCTAGAAAATCTTCAGCATCATGAGCTGCATCTTGAAGCTTATCCATCCAACGCTTCATACCATCTTCTGCCGCTGGCCTTGTTGCTGCATCTCGCATCACAGCTTGAATCATGGTTAAAGAATCTACGAGCTTTTGCAGCCGTCCATTCAATCCCCAAGCAAGTCCGGTCCCTTCAGCAGCTATGGAAATCATCCTTCTCAAAGACTCCTCGACGGCAAACGTAAGAAGAAGCTCTGCTGCCATATTGTCTTGTTTTTGTTGGGGAAATCAAAGAAGAAATATTGAGCACGGGAAAGAGAGAAGTGTGCTGTGAAATATTAAAGAGAAAATGAAGCGTGTTTTGGAATGGTGATCAGATTCATTCAACTTTAAAATGGAGGGTCCCTCCCTCACATTTATTAATTGGTTGATTGCAGTTGGCAAGGCTAAGAAAATGACACATCTTCAGGATGTTTGAAATTAAAATAAATATATTAAAAATATATTTTTATTTTTAAAATCAAAATATCAAAATAATATAACATTAAATAAAATCACATGAAAACCCTTTATCGATGGTGGTTGGCGGCATCTTTCACGAGCCATTACTGTGAATTTGTCATGCCAAGGCTAAGAAAATTCCACATAAGCATTTTTTATTTTTTTTACATTTTTGATAAATTTATAACTGAAAATACTTCTCTTAAAATCTTTCAAACTAATAAAAAATTATTTATCCTAAATTTAATTTTTTTAAAAGTTTTTTTAATTTTTTGAAGAGTTTTTAAAAGGTTTTTCTTTTGCAACCAAATATTTTTTGTAATTAAGTTTTTTATATTTTTATTTATTTGGTTACTAATTAATATTTATAAAGTATCATATCATTTATTAATAAATAGTGAACAAGGGACTTTCAATTACCTATTCTATTCTTCTATTTCATGTGACACTCCTTGTCTGCAATTATATGGTATTGTACACAATGATATATACCACACCTGATATTTGATGCTTTTGAAGTGTTGAAAAGTGCCTTATTTTTTTTTTTTTTAGATTAATATGAGTGTCTAGGCCAGTTTGTGCGCACCACGACTAATTTCATGGGTCCTGAAATTAATGACCATGTAAACCTCTAATGATCATTATATGAGCAACCAAGGACTCGAACCTGAGACCATAAAGGGAGCAAACCCCTTAGTCCCAAGTTCTTACTATTTAGCCACCACCTAGATGGTTAAAAGTGTCTTATTTCCACTTGCTTGGTAGTGTAGTATTACTGCACAGTAATATTTAAGATTTTTCACATTTTTACTTAATGCCTTGTTTGTTTCAAGAAAAACGAATTCCTAGAATTCATTTTCCTTACTTTCCCATGTTTGGTAACAAAATGGAAAAGTAGTTAATGGAAACTTAATTCCGGTCAACATAAAAAAAATGCTTCATGAAAGGAATGTGTTTCCCTTCTAATAAGGAAAGGAAAACACTTTCCTTTTTTTCATTATCTACTTTTATAAATCACGGTTTGTCTCTCCTTTTTTTTAAAAATGATTGGAAGCATTTCAGAACCATTTCTTCTCTGGACAATTGAAGCATTTCACTTGAACAATTAATTTCAGGTATTTTTTTATTATTTCCTTTATGTTTTTATCTTCTTCGTAGATCTGTTAAAATTATTGCATAATATTTCCATAACACAACAATTTTTCCATGATAATTTTCTTCTTCATCACTCACATTCGGCAGTTTATTCTACCCAAACAAACACCATCAAGTGCAGAGAGAGAGGCACTTGAAAATCCCCAAACTATGTTGGAAGCATTGAGAATCAACCCTTGCTCTCTCTTTTTTTAATAGTAGCCGGGGGAGAACTGGGAAGGAGGAGCCATGTTGCCCCTTGAATGTTTGATACTTGTCCTGCTTTTTTGTCTTAAATATTTGCTTCTTTATGCACAAATGGTGAGAGAAACAGAAAGAGAACACGGGGAAACCGACAGGAACAAGGGCATGAGAGATACAGAGAGGGAGAGGGAACAGGGGAAGGGGAATGAGAGAAACCGAGAGGGAACAGTGGAATGGGGGAATAAGAGAAATTGAGAGGGGAATCAACCGAGAGGGAGAGGGAACAGAAGGAATCAACCAAAAGGAGAGTGAACAATGGGAATCGACCAAGAAGGAGAGGGGAATCGACCGAGAGGGAGAGTAAACAGTGGGAATGGACCGAGAAGGAGAGGGGAATCGATCGAGAGGGAGAGGGAACAGGGGGAATCGACTGAGAGGGAGAGGGAACAGGGAACAATGAACAGGGAGAGGGAACGGGGGGAATCAACTGAGAGGGAACAGGAAACAGGGGAATGAGAGAGGGGAACCGACCGAGAGAGAGGGCGAATGGAATTATAAGCCATTGAATTTAGTCTCATGAGCATATGCAAAACATGGGTTAAGCTGCGTGTTTATTAGGAAAATGCAAGAGATGATTAGAGTTTTAACCAGAGAATGTGAGCTCCCATTTTTTTCTATGTGTTTGAGCGAGAGCTAACGAGCTTAAAAGGTTTTTTTTTCACATGCAAAACTCATTAACAAGCTTGTTGTTTATTTTTTATTACTTGGTGATTTATAAATCTGTTTATTGTTATGTAATCATGTGAAATGAGTACCCTAATTACATATGGTTATATTATTATTGTGAATAATTACACCATTACCGTGTGAAATAGAATGTTTAAATACATGTTATATTAATAAGGGGAATTATAACAGGACAATAAACATAAATTTGCATTTTAGTTTACTTTGCTTAATATATGATTAATGTTTGATTAATATATGATGTTTATTGTATTGAGTGTGGAAGTATTTTATATGTTTTTTTTTAATATTTATTTCCCTAAATTTATAGGTTTTGTTATCAGAAAACTTCACTTTCATGTTATGGATAGTAAGATAATTCATACAGCATGTATGGGAGCAGCTGTAACTGTGATAGCTACAAGGGTAGCTATTATTGAACAAGAAAGAAATAGAATTTTTATACCAAGAGAACCACGTATCAATGCAATTGCTTAACAAGAATTCTATATGGACAGCATTTTGAATCGAGGTGATAGACATTGTGTTGAACAAATTCATATGAAACCTGTTGTCTTTTCTAGATTGTGTGATGTTCTCACAAGTTGTGACCCATTACGATCAACTCAAAATGTATATATTAGGGAGCAAGTAATTGTATTCTTACAAATTGTAGGCCAAAACTAAAGATTTCGTGTTATTAATGGTATATACTATAGGTTTGTTGAAACTATCCATCGTTACTTTAGAATTGTTTTAAAAGCAGTTCTTAAGTTTTACATATACCTTATTAAAGATCCAAAGGATATAGTTCCAGCAGAGATAATGAATAATCAAAGATTCTATCCTTATTTTAAGGTATGAAAACAATACCAATATTTTTATATGTTAATTAATTATATCTAGAAGAAAAGGTTATAAATTATTTTTTCATGTTTATATAGGATTGTGTGGGAGTAATTGATGGTACCCATTTTCCTGCAAATGTTCCTGTTAAGATTCAAGGAAAGTTTTGAGGTCGAAAAGAAGGAACAATACAAAAAGTTTTAGCAGTTATAACTTTTGATTTGAAGTTTATATATATTTTAGCTGGTTGGGAAGGAAGTGCCCATAATTCATGGGTTTTAGGTGATACATTATCAAGATCTAATGGTCTAAAAATTCCAGAAGGTATATAATAAAGTATGTATTATATGCAATAAACATATAAAATATCTTATTACATAAAGATAGTAATAGGTTTTTTTTTTAATTTGTAGGAAAATATTATCTTAGTGATGCTAGTTACGGTATTCGAAAAGGAATCATTTCTCCTTTTCGTGGAATTCGATATCACTTGAATGAGTTTACAGAACGTTCACCAGAAAATAAAAAGGAGCTATTTAATCTTCGACACTCGTCATTAAGAATCGCTATTGAGCGAGGGTTTGGTATTTTAAAGAGTCATTTTAGATCAATTGATGGAAAATCTTTTTGGTCTTATGAAACACAAGTAGATATTGTGCTTGCATGTTGTGTTATTCATAACCACATAAAGGGAGTTGATCCTTATCACTTTCTTACGGAAGAAATATGTTCGGGAAGTAAACCAATTAGACGAATAATCAACTTAAATCAATGGGAGGAAAGGGAATAGAATAGAGAGTGGATAACAAAAAGAGAAATGATTACATCAACCATGTGGAATGATTATAACACTCAAAGAAACTAGTAATTGAGTGTTAATTATATGTGTTTGTTTTTATTGTGTCTTGCTTGAATTTGTATTATCCTTGTTATGTATTTGGAGTAGATGCTGACTTTATTATAAGTTCTTATGTATTTTATATATTCTCTTTTAAATATTAATTGTAGTTTTTATATGAAATTTATTAAATCTATATATTACATGATTTTATTTTGTATAAATTTGTAATTTCTTTTTTTGTAAAAATGAGTTCCACACAGAATAAAAAATACAAGGGCAAGCACTTCATATGGTCTAAGCATATGTCACATATGTTACTTGAGATATTAGCTGAGGAGGCACTTAAAGGAAGCAGACCTTCTTCTACCTTTAAAGCAGAATCTTTTGTTAAGGTAGCTACAGAAATTAGTCAAAAGTTCAACGTGCGATGCGAGCCTAAGCATGTGGACAATCATCTCAAGATTGTGAAAAAAGAATGGGGAATAATAACCAAACTTAAAAATAAAAGTGGCTTTGGCTGAGATGAGTGTTTGAAGATGATTACAGTGTCGAAAGATGTATATGATGAAGAAGTAAAGGTATGATAAATATTATAATCTTTGTAATTTTTATATTTATTTTTGTTTCTAAAATGTTATACAATGAACTAAAAAATGCATATTCTAAACTTTATGAACAAACACATCCCAATCATGACAAGTATCTCAACAAAAAACTTGATATGTATAAGGCAATGACAATTGTTGTTGGAAAAGACATGGCAACCGAAAATTATGCCAAATCATATGCTGATGTCAACTTGGAAGAGAACACTGAAGAGCAATCAATTTTGATTGAAAATGAAGGTGAATATGAAGAAACTTCTAAGGGAAAAGAAACATCTTCCTCTAGTACACAAAAGAGGCAACATAGGAAGAGAAATCGCATGTATGAAGATGATGGTATTAAAAAGTTGTCTAAACAGATTGAAGATGTAGCCTTTGCAATTTAAAGCCTCAGCAAAAATCAACTTGATGTTAACGCGCTGTATACAGAAGTGATGAAAATTGAGGGCTTTGATGAGATCACTCTTGGGGATGCATTTGATCATTCGGTCCAAAATGAAATGTTGGCAAAAGCATTTATGGCAAAAAAAGCTAATTTGAGGAAAATTTGGGTTCAAATTTTTGTGAACCAACACTATTATAGGCCTGCTAGCTAAGATGGTTTGACTATGTTTTTAATTTGGGTTCAGACTATGTTTGATATTTGACAAGTAAGTTTACTTGTTTAATTTAGTCTAGCATGTTTATGTTTGTACTTTGAACTAATATATATGTATATGACATCGAAATTTAATATTTATGCATGACTATATTTGATGTTAGATATTTATATTTATTTCTAGATGCTTATTTAATATAAATTAAAGGGATATTAAAGAGATTATTACTTTTACCCGTAAAAAAAATATTTATCCAAAAAATCCATCAAAATATTTTTATATGTATTTATCTTTTAAAAAATTCTTCATACAAAAAAAAAATCCCAAATATATAACTCTTACCATAAACTAATTTGGCTTCCTTCATATGAAAAAAAAAACTTATTTTAAGCTTTTAAAATTGAAAAAATATATTAATAGGTTTTACTTAAAAAAATATTTCTCAAGCTTATTTCTTTATAATATAATATGATATATATAGTTATATTTTATAAAATAAGCTATGTATGAATATAGGATATAATAAAAAAATTCATCATTATACTTTTTAGATTTCATTCTTTTATTTTATTCTTTTATTGTAAGTGATTAAATATTTATATTAAATATTATATATATATATATTAGATAAACTTTTAAAAAAATTAATTCATTAATAAATTATTTTTCAATTTATTTTTCATAACATAAACAAACACTAGAAAGTATTTTCCAGTTGATTTTTCATAATACTACTAAATATCGGAAAATACTTTTCTAGAATTCACTTTCTAGGAATTTACTTTCTCCAGAATTCACTTTCCAAAAGAAAACAACTTTACTACAAATAAACGAAGCCTTCAATATGTTGAAGGACATCAATTCTCATTGTTTCAATTCAAGTTAACACATTAAATTTATAATTATAAACATAGAATTGAGATAACTAGATATAAAAAAATAAAAAGAAAGATAAAAAAACTAATTTTTAATAAATTAAATGTTCAAGAATTAAAGAAAAAAAATCAATTTCAAAAGAAAAACGAAAATATGGATTGAATTCAACAAAATAGTGTGGGATAGATTTCAAGAAAAAAATACAATAAAAAAGGCTCATGAGCGGAGAGAAATGAGGGGATGAATTTTTTTAAAAAAATCCATTAAAAAGTCTCCAAAACAAAAAAAAATAGAAATAATGAAAACGAAATTTATATAAAAATATTTTGAAATTAAATATTAAGGGATTAAATTGAAAATAAAATTTAATTAAAAAATAATAAAAAATGATAATTAAGAGAATGATGAGGATGAAAGTGAAGAAAAAAATCAATAAACTGGGCTTGCAGGATGTTCAAATGATGAGGATCAAATGAGGGACTTGTTCCTTTCCTTCGCGTCCGGGTTCGAGTCTTGCCGTGCACGTCTGTCACCCTCGCGGTGTTTTACCTATTCATTGGGCTTACAGGATGTTCAGTGAGCCGTGAGAATTAATCGTGATGTGTGCAAGCTGGCCTGTACACCCCATGTAAAAAAAAAAAAAAAAAAGAAATCAATGGAATTGAAGGTATCTTTTCATTGCTGCGATATATAGGGTTGTGACGTTAAGCAAATAAACTGGCTTTGACAATTACTGAGGAATGGTTTCTCATTGTCTGCCCTCCAAGCATTACACGTTACAGTATTTATATTTGCATCCTATGCTGACTTCCTTCTTGACTAGCTAACAAACTAACCGCTAAATGTCCTTCCAACTAACTCTTAACCGTTAACTAAACTTGCAATCACGTGGAACTATTAGCAATTTCATCTTGAAATTAACCTCCATAACTGTTTCTGCTATCCTGCTGCTGCACTAGTTGTTTACTGCACTGTTTCATCGGGTACACCCATCTTATTACTCTGCCCCAATTTTGATAATTAATGAATTGAGTTGGGGCAATTTAGTATTTTAATAAATAAAAAATATTTAAGAAAATAGGCTAACACGTGTTGTGCAAGCACTTCGCCGTCTTCAGACAACATTTACTGTTGATACTAATGGACAAAATTATCGTACTGGGATGATGTCTGATTTTCCTTGACATTTCCTCCATGAAAAGGAGGCATGTGTATAGAGAAAATTTTTGGTTTGACAATATAATCATTCTTTTTTTTTTATTTCCTTTTTTTAGTTTTTTTTATTTGCCAGAAAATAATTTTTTTAAAGTAAATTTTGAAAAAATAAATTTTTTTCTAATATTTGATAGTGTAATAAAAAATAAATTAGAAAATATTTTTTAATATTTAATTATATCATAAAAAATAAGCTGAAAAATAACTTATTAATGTTTTATTTTTTTCAAGTTTATTAAAACAATAAAGAATAAATATTACAAATTAAAAAGTTAAATAAGAATAAAATTGAAAAAAAATATAATTTTATAAATTATCTCAAATAAAATAAATAATAATCAAAATAATAGAGATCAAATCTAAAAAATAAAAAAATAAAAGATTTAAGAAATTAAAATAATAATAATTAACATTTCATAAATTATTTCAAATAAAATAAGTAACAATCAAAAGAATGATGATCAAATTTGTTACATAAAAAATTTCAATAAAAAAATAGTAAGAAAAAAAAACAAATAACAATTATAAAAATGAGGATCAACGTTAATATAAAAATTAAATTTTAAAAGATAAAATTAAAAAATAAATATTCAAAGCAATATATATATATATATACACACACACACATATCAGCAAATAATATGACGTTTCTAAATTCTTTCTAACTTCTAGAAAGTGTTTTGCGCTCAATTTTTTTTTTTTAAATATTTTTCTGAACATTAAACCAAATTTTTCTTTGACTGAAAAATGTTTATTGTTGATCAATTTTTCTAATAGCAAACAAATATAGAAAAGTTTGGAAAGTGGGTTCCTGAAAAGTAAATTCCAGAAAAGAAACATAGCCTTAATGTTTGTGTCTGCCTTGTAATTTTTCAAATTAACTACTAATTTTTTTATTTAATTCTTGTTCTTTTGGTTATTAGATATTATATTTTAAATAATTTATAAAATTGAATTTTTATTTCAATTTTATCCTCATTTAATTTCTTATTTAGTTATATTTGGTCTTATTCATTTAATTGCTATTTATAGAATCTAGGATAATTTTTAGAATTGAATTTTTTATTTTAAGATCTCCCCTTCCATTATTTTTTCCCACTAGATTTTTTTATTATTCTTTTGATTATTTTTTTCCTTTGAAATTGTTTTTAAAATGATATTTTTTAACTCAATTTTATTTTTTAATATTTAATTGGTTTGAATTTAAACTTGCCAATTAATCTCTTGTCTAATATTTTATGGGTTGTAAGTTTTTGAAATAAGTCAGCTGGTTCATTCGAGATTGCTTTATTTTATTTATCATTAATTTAAATTAATATTTTTTTAACATTTATTTAATTGAAGATTGAGCTCTTATTATTTTTTTAAACTTTTTGTATACTTTGTTTTTATTTTTTTATTTTATTAAATTATCTAGGATTTTATTTATTTATTTATTTTTATTAAATTTATTTTATAAAATAAAATTTATTTTTGAGTTAAATAGAATTGATTGAATACAGATAAATGACAGCTTCCTTATGTTTTTTTCCCTCGGTGTTGCTCTAGCAACCCACGTGGTTTCTTTCGATGTCGCCATGCAATCATTTCAACAAAATCTTCTTGTAAATTATAAAAAAACTTATTTCCAGAATGAGAAAAGAAAATACTTAAACAAATTCACACTTAACTGAACTTGCCTGGCTTTTTTCCCATCTATTTGAGTGATGTTGGTGGGCATGGGCTGGGAGCATGGTTGTTTCTACTCTTGTTTTTTTTTTTTTTTTTTTTTTCTTTTGCTTGGGGCTGCTATCGGCTCATCAGCTCATTTTGGATCTGCCTCTCTTCGCCTGGTTTCCCCCGCTGCCCCTCCCTCTCAATTGAACCTACCAAGAGCTGAGCAGTTATCATGAGGTGGGAGGGCATCTCTTTGTCTCTTCAATTTACATAGTGTTGGCACGTCTGCGATTTCAGCTTGCTGTTTCTGGGGGTGGATTGGATGAAATATGAGTTTGTTTCACGGGTCTTCCTCGCTTGATTGCTGCGCTGGAATGGCTGCCCATGAAAGATGCTCCCAACTTGGCAATTTATGCAAGATTTTTGCAGGATGTTCAAGGTATTTTTGGTTGGGATGGGTGTTGGACGAACGTGCTTGCCTTTTCAACTGGATTTGGTTTCGATGCCCCATTCCATCTTCTTTGATATGGGAGAGTTTAGAAACGAATGTTCAGCTTGATTTTATTTAAATTATTTTTTTAATATATTGCTATATAGTACAACCTTGCCATGCTTTGCCAATTCAATTTTGGGTCTCCTGCCATGTTAGCTGTAACAGTGATGCCTACTGCCCTTGATATCATCTTTCTCATCATGGTCAGCTGGGCTTTTTTTTCTTTTTTCTTTTTCCTGGGATATGCTTGTTTAAGTCTGATTGTGAGACCTATAAAGGAGTCCCTATGCTAATTTATCTATTTTCTTTACATGGTTTTGCATTCCTG